TGTCTGTCCGTCCGTCCGGCTGTCTGTCCGTCCGTCCGTCCGTCTGTCCGTCCGTCCGTCCGTCTGTCCGTCCGTCCGTCCGTCTGTCTGTCCGTCCGTCCGTCCGTCTGTCCGTCTGTCCGTCTGTCCGTCCGTCCGTCCGTCTGTCTGTCCGTCCGTCTGTCTGTCCGTCCGTCCGGCTGTCTGTCCGTCCGTCCGTCTGTCTGTCCGTCCGTCCGGCTGTCCGTGCGTGTCCGCCGTCCGACTGTCCGTGCGTGTCCGTCCGTCCGTCCATCTGTCCGTGCGGGTCCGTCAGTCCTACAATTGAGAACTTAATCGAATACAAGAGGTTTTAGAGCCAGGGCCAGAATGGTCATACGCCAAAGCAAAACGTCGTAGAGAACCTCTTTCTTCTCTCTCTTGTCGTACTCCTTTTCAAGTGGTATGGCCCAAGGTCCGCCGAATTGTGGGAAGGCTTCCTTCTCCGAACGTTCCAGGGTTGCTGATGAACAGAAACGTGATCACCTCCCCTGAAGATATAGCAGAGAAACTGGCATCTCATTATGAGGACGTCTCCAATTCTTCGCAACATTCTCCAGGGTTTCTCGATTATTAGAGGCGACGGAAAAAAATACACTGGACTTTTCAAGTGTCAGAACAGGAAAATAATAACTCCCCCTTTTTCCATGGAAGAATTATTGTCTGCCCTTGCTCTTTTGAAAGTCTCTGCTCCAGGACCTGACAAAATTCACAACCAAATGTTAAAACACCTAACCGAGAGGGCGCGATCATTCCTCCTTAACCTCTTTAACCGCATATGGCACGAACACATCATCCCCGACATCTGGCGCGAGGCCATTGTAATCCCTATTCCTAAGGAAGGAAAGGATCGAATGATTCCCTCGAGTTATCGACCAATTTCTCTTACTAGCTGTATTTGTTAGCTGTAGGACCGAATGGTTAACCGACGTCTGGTATAGCTCCTGAAGCAAAGAAACTTTTTAACACCAATTCAGTGTGGATTCAGGAAGCAGCGATCTACTGTGGATCACTTGGTTACTCTTTCTTCGCAGATATCCACTTCGTTCATATTACATCTTGTAACCTTCTTCTTCGACATTGAGAAAGCATATGACATGACCTGGAGGCACGGCATACTTCGTACTTTGAACTCTTGGATACTTAGGGGACAGCTCTCTTTGTTCTTAAAGAACTTTCCCTCTTCAAGATCTTTCCGAGTCCGCGTTGGCGGAAAACTATCTTCCAGTTACACTTTCCAAAATAGAGTTCCTCAGGGATTGTAATGCCAGTGAAGGCATTGTTTTTGTTAATGATTTTCCGTTTTCTGCTCATCCAAGAGCTTGAACGTCATCCAAAAGCAATACCAACTCGTCCTGAAGTGACTTACTGATTGGAGCGCAAAAACGGGATTTAAGTTCACCTCAAAATCGAAGTGCACTCACTTCTGCATTATAGATCACCTCCACAATTACCTCCGCGTCCTGCAGAGCCGATGTGTATCGCCATGAAACTTACTTCGCAACCTCAGTGGTACCTCATGGGACGCCGATCGTACATACCTCTTCCGGTTATGTAGGACACTTATTCGATCAGTATTGGACTATAGCAGCATTGTACACGGCTCCGCGTCTCCTTTAACTTTACGACCTCTCAGTACTTTTCACCATGCCGGAATCCGCATCAGCGCAGGTGCCTGACCCGCCCCCTAATTGCGATAGTTGCGAGACGACTCTTATCGTAGAGCATGTTCTCCTGCACTGTTCTAAGCTAAGAGATAGCTGTCGAAGGCTTCACTTTGATAGCTCTCTGGCACAGATACTTGGAAATGAATCTTCTCTCTGCAAGCTTTTTAGCTTCTTACCAGAGACTGAGATTGAGCATTATCTGAAAGAAAGGATTATTTCAATTATTTGGCTTTTGATTGGAGATTTTAAAGTATTTATGTGTTTCTTTTATTTCCAATCCCTTTTTAAATAGCTGTAATAGATTGACAGACGGACACGTTTATTTTCAGTTTTAATCACATCTTACTTTGTATCAAAAAGTGTTTTAGTCTATCATTGCTAAAGTGCGTATTGTTCTTACAATAATTTGACATGGGTGCCAATGGCCGTAGTTGTTGAAGTGCCCTTAAACCTTAATAATAATAATAATAATAATAATAATAATAATAATAATAATAATAATAATAATAATAATTTAGTTGTTTTGTTTTGAGAACAATGTGCGCTTATAAATCTTCTATAGTCCCCATTTTTATTAAATCGTGTTTATAGGAAAAATGCACAGTCGAATCTCCCGCACTTTACTTGATGGAGAATACATTTTAAGTGATGTATAAAGTAGTAGAATACCAGTTGGAATATTATAATTTTACTTTATTGTTATCAATGATAGGAGAAGCGTGTTTTGTTGTGGCACCTCTAGTTTCATTCAGTTAATTTATGACGGGTGCACTAAAGAGCAGCACGTGATGAATTGTTTTCCATAAGTGTGCGATGTGTGTTGTCGGCGAAGCATCTCTCGCAGCGTCCCTTGAGCGTCTCTGTGTCTGTCCTCAGGGACGCAGTCGGAGCCGGCGCTGCCTCGCCGCAAGAAGCACCCCGAGCTGGCCTACAAGACGCACGAGTTCCTGGCGATGGCAGACGCTGGGGGCTCCGACGACTCGCTGGACGCCGCTGTTCCTCTGGACCGCGCCCGGGTGAGTGAGCAGCCGAGGGCGCTCTCGGACCAGCGCCCGCCTTCGCCTTCGCCTTCGCCCGCGCCCGCGCCCCCGCCCCCACTGTTGCGCGCGCCGCCTTCACCACAACCACCACCACCACTATCACCACCACGACCACCACAGCCGCCGTCACCGCGCCACCAGCCGGCCGCGACCACCTGGCCTCACCGAGCAAGGGTGGCGGAGGGCGTGGCGGGCGTGGCGGGCATGGCGAGCGTGGCGAGCGTGGCGAGCGTGGTGGGCATGGCAGGCACGGCGGGCATGGCGGGCGTGGCGTGCGTGGTGGGCGTGGCGGGCGCGGCGGGCGCACGGGCGCGGCGGCAGTGCAAGGGCTGACCATCCACGGGCGGCGGAGCGGGCTGGAAGGAACCAACCCCCATTCTTACCCTCCTACCCAAAGAATTCCGGAATCGTCCAGATACAAAATACTTCACGACGTGTATGGACACGAAAACACGTATATCTAGTACCAAATGATTTTGAATTGGAACTATCTTGATCACTTTTTATTCCTTGGGATTGCAATAGACAATCCCAACATCTACATGTCATATTACAGCCGCAAAAACCTGAATTTCAATTAATAAAAGTTGTCTAAAAAACACAAAACAGGCACTCACATTCGTCTTTTCTCACTCGATGCCTTTTCAACGATCCAAATTCCATACTCCAACCCACAGACCGTAGTATAGAATTACACCCGCGCGGCTGTTCAATCTACAGACAGTAGCAGTGCTAGAATTAATGGGGCTTGGGGAGGCGTGGCCGTCACG